TTTCCCTTAATATAATTAACATAAACACATAAATCTGAAAAATTAAGGGAATCAAGAATTCATTTTGACACAATATTTTTTATTCTCTTTTGTGAGATGTGACATAATCGTTTGTGCCATAACGAAGCGAAATTTCCATTTGTTTTTTTATGTTTAATACCACGTGAATTTACATACAATATTTCTTTATAAGAGACAACTGTATTAAGTAGATATAGATTATCATAACTGGATAAAGAACTGGTATCCACAATATTTGAATTAAGAAAAAGATAAAACTAACTATTTCAATTAAATAAGAGTAACCAAATTTGTCCGATGTAGAAATAGAAATCAAATTCCATCTAAAAGACGGTACCAAAAATATCTATTTCAAATTCAAATAATAACTAATCTTTAATGATAACCTAAAAGTCCATATAGTCTCAATTTTAACTAATTTGCCATTGCCCACCTAGATGAAACTTTCAGTATCAATTGACTTTTAATTGTTCAGGCAACCTCGCATAGACATACTTATGTGAGTAGTGGTACCGAAATTTATCCACAAAGTATGTCTTGATATTGAAATTAAATTAATTTTAAAACAAACTAAAGTGAGAAGTGTACTTTTTTTACACGATAGCATAATATTTAGTAGAGTCTTTCTTTTTGTATTCCAAATTTTCACAAAAGTAACAGTCAGGTGATTAATTATTTTTCAGGTTTTTACTGTTTCTTTTGAGCTGAACCAAATGCAGTTTTCTTATTTTTTTAACTTGTCTTTAGAGATATTTGCCAAGTGATGACTTCAAGTTTTCTCTTGCGATAGTCTTTCTTTTTCTTGCACACAATATGAAATAAGCTCATCAAGAGTCAACTTTCTCTTTTGACAGTCGTAACTGACCTTAAATTAACAGAATTGTGTAGAAAGAAAAATCAAAATCAAATGCACGGCGGGTCAAACTTTAATGCCTTTATTTTTGAAGCGAGATGAGACATATCTATGATGTACTCCCTTATATTTTTTCTTTAGTCCTATATTTTAGTGAAATCAAGTTCACCGAAAACATACAAATTTCGGCCTTATCGTCTCTTGGAAAGCGTTTTCAATATCTTTAAAAAATTATTTGGCTGTTACCTTATTGGACACGGCGTCCCCTAAATATTGCTGGAATTACACGCTTCATAATCATAAGATTCATGCGGTTTGAATGATCCCACTAATTCAAATTATGTTTTATTTGCAGAACTCTTATTCGTAATAGTAGTGGGTTATTTTTCTTAATGCAATGTCTAGATCCATGCTTCCAAGAACGATACAAAAGTTCTCTTTCCGGCTCTTAAACTTTGGTTCAAGTACAGAAATTTAATTGATTTGTTGGTAGATATTGTAGGAGTAGATGGATTAATCGAATAGAGAACTTAAACCTAAATAACATGTTCACATGAGAATCCATATTTGACAATCAATAATTTCAAATAATGATGAATCACATCATAAGAGACCGAGCATAACATTGATATTTAGTTTTTGGACAGAAATTTCAACTTGTAAGTGGCACCCTTGGTGTAGTAATCAAATATTGACAATAAATTCGGTCAAACATCAAATTTATCTTTGAACCGACTCAATGTTCACATAATGAAAAACTTTACAATTGCCACATATTTATTATCACAGGTGTGTAAATAATTAGGTCAAATATTATTTTTTCTTTGAGCCAACAATACATGCATGGATTAAGTACACATAACCTTCCAAATATTCCAAATAAATTAATTTAGGGAAGAGAGATTACTTTAATAACATGTTGTTTCAACTAATCTATTTTAGAAAATTAGTAATCCGAAATAAATATTAAGTATCAAGATTTGAATTTGGTTGCCCTCTTAGTCTTTTAATTTTTATTTTTCTTTCTTTTGTTCAAAAAAAAAATTCTGACAGAACACGAGGGCCACAGTGCTACGGCGCTGAGAAACCAGCTCCTCGACACTGCTGCGCTATAATGGTGCAGCCCCTCGGGCGTTGCAGCCTGCCCTTGTTCATTCTTTTTCCAAAAAAAAAATCCTTAAAAATTCGAATTTTTGAATTTTAGGGTTAAAATTTGTATTTCAAAAATTGAGGAATCCAAAGTATGAAATTCAACCCAAAAATTATTGCTTAAAAAAATTCTTAATTATATTCCAAATTAAAAGATCCCAAAATTTAAAGTATGAATTTCAACTATAAAATTCTTTCTTAAATTTTAATGGTTTAACAAGGAGTTGACTCTGATATCACTTGTTAAAACTTTAAACTTTATAAAACTAGAAACTTTATAACTTGAAAACATTATTCCTTTATTGTCAAAATCATCTATGTCAAATCACCAAGAAAATTAATAATGCGGAACACACCTTAATTCATTGGGAATTATTATTTATTACTGGATCTTGATTTCGGATATTGAATTTTGAAACTTGAACTGCAATCTTTTCATGTTTGTGTTCTTCACTTTTAATCTTGAATTTTACCTCCTTTGATTTTTTAATTCTTGTTCTTGATTTTGCTTCTTCATCCATAATATTGATTCTTGAATTCTTTCTTTCTAATTCTTGATTGCTGATCTTAATTGTGGGTTTTGGATCTTCATCTTCAATATATCTTCTCTTGTATTCATGTGTTGATGAGATGGCACAAAAATGAGAATCACATATGAATTGAGACCATATATATTCATAAGTATTTCGTCCATCATGAAATACAATTCGAAATGAATCTGGTTTTTACATATATAATTCAGTCCACACTTTATTTAGAAGAAGATGATGATGAAGATTACAGGTTCATTTGCATTTATCCTCGAATAAGTTAAAGCACATGTTTGGTACAATTAACGAGACGAGATTTTGACATTTTTATCTAAATTCTGGATACTAACCCATGCTATCTAAAACTTATTACCAAACACTTTGATTCGCTAAAATCATACACTTCAACTGATTGATGGATCATTTCATCCCCAAACATAAAGGAAAGATGAAATCAATGTACTCGGATACGGTGAATCTTTCAGAACTACCTTAGCCAGATCCAGGGCCGGCCCTGAGAATTTAGAGGCCCTAGGCGATAGATTATTATGAGACCCTTCAACATAATTATTTTTTCAAAACAAAATTTAATTATTGAGTAAAAATGTATTCGTTGGGTGATCGAAACTCTTCCATAAAGCCTTATTTGGATCACCACTCGCATGACTCCCAAACAAAACAAGATCACCAGTATCTATTAAAACAGCATTGGAATTATTTGGTGCAACTGTGGCATTGGTACACCAAATTATATCACCTTTCTCATTCAATATGATCAAATTTCCGTCATTTGCAATTCTTAAATCTCCACTTGCCACTGATTGGATTTTCTCTATTTGCAACCCACACCACAGATTGATTTTCAACTTTATTGTACCAGATTCCAACATACCTAAGATCAGAACCCTCTGGACTAAAGAATCCCAATACAAATCTCTCTTCTTTTGATATAATTTCTTCTCCATCTCTTACTGATTGACCTCTTGTAATTCGATTTTCAGCATAAATATATACAGAAACTATATGAAAATTGATCAGGAAATACCAAATGAAGAGAATACTGTAACTTTTGAAATTTGGGGCCAGTTTAGAAATTGAAAATTTTTAGACATTCAAGAATAGAGATATTTAATTTTTTTGAACGGTTAAAAAAAACACTTTTTTTGTGGCCGCCCTTTGAAGATTTGTACGATATTAATACAAAAGTTGAGGAGATTGACTTCAAAGTACTCTTTTTTTAAAAGATTCTTGGTTGACCACCAAAACCCCCCTACACAATATATACACAGATAGAGATTCTAACAATTTGTGTGCAGATTTGAATATACACACACATAACATATACATAAATATATACGTAGAGAGAGAGATAGATTACTTCTTTTTTGGCTTTCATTTTTGGTTCAAGCCCACCAAATAAGCACATATATACACAACTCGAAAAGCCCATCAAAATCAATTAGAGAGAGTGAATAAAGCATTGTATTAC